CTTTTCCCCTGGGGCGACGAATTAGCTTAGGTGCCATTTCCTCTGAATCAGAAGAGCTAAGGAAACCAGACATAAAAACCAAGGAGAAAACAAGATTCTAAAGAGAGCAAGTTTGAAGGAGATAGAAAGCTAAAGAAGCAGCAGAAAATCTAAAAGGAAGCAGTTGTGTCCTTATAAAAGAAAAATGCCGTCAAGAGCCCAAATCCATGGCTGACACGTGGCACAAAATGGTTGAGAGCAATAAAAGCAACAGAGATACTCGAACGGTCATCCAAACCAAAGATCAGCAGCAAGCAAGAAATGAAACGATCAAAAGCGCCGACCGGGAAATAAACCCCAAAGCTATTTGAAATAAGTACATGAGCTGTAGATCGTCCGCAACCAAGGATAAAAATACCCAGTCGGCAACACAAGGATATTCCATACGATCAAGATTGCTAGGAGAACGAACGCACTCTATATCCACGCTTAGTGACTGCTAGTTCCTTGCCCGAACAGGTAAGGAAGTGTTCCCAGAATACTTGTCTCAAGACATCTATCATGTCCGAAGGCCGCAGAGGCACGCAGGTAGAGGTAGAGGATAAACTACTAGTTCCTTGCCCGAACAGGTAGAGAAGTGTTCCCAGAATACCCGTCTCAAGACATCTATCATGCCCGAAGGCCGAACAGGCACGAAGGTAGAAGTACAGGATACACTCTCGGACGAGGTGAAAAAATCAGGAAAACGCCCAAGTCCAAAATTTTGGGCTTAACTAGAAGAAGATACACTCGAACGAGGCGGAAAAATCAGGAAAACGCCTAAGTCCAAAATATTGGGCTTAGACTAGAAGAAGATACACTCTCGAACGAGGTGGAAAAATCAGGAAAATAGCCAAGTCCTAAACATTGGATTTAGACCCAACCTCTACCACAACAATTGTAAATTGCTAAGATCAGGATCCCGAACAGGATAATCTACAGCGGAAAATTCCCCGACAAAGATGGTAAGGATCATGAAAACATTGGGCCTAGGTCTAGTTTCCACAGGATCAGTTAAGAGTGATCGGGATCAGGATCCCGGACAGGCAAACCAATTATTATCACTCAATAGGATACATCGATCGGGCAGATTAGAATCATAAAAACGACTAAGTATACAGGCAAAGAGAAAGAAGCAAAGAGCAAATCAAATGGAGCAAAAGTTCATACATTCATCGACTTTACTGGCCGGATGATTACATATTAAAAACTATGGAGACAGAAAATACAAGAAAAAGAAGGAACTAATCTACTGAGCGGGCTCTTCATCCTCTTCACCTTCCCCCTCTTTGTCATCTCCCTCATCACCATCATCTTCATCATCTCCAGCTGGGAGATCATCCCCCGAATCAGTCAGAGGATTGGGGTATTTACCTGTTGACTGAGCAGCCTGCCTCTTCAGATCTCGAGCATATTTCTTTACCTGAGTCTTAAAGGCCCTGAGATGGGCCGCGGGGAGATGAGGGAAGTCAGATGGCTGCAGCATTCAGCCTAAGGCCGGCTGGAGAACAGGAAGAAGGGTCTGCAGCATGGGCTGGCACCTAGCGACATAGACCTCCCGGGCAAAGGATTCAGCCCATTTCTTGGAGGTAGGATCGATCAAGAATCCTGACACCTTCCTTGCGACGAGTGATGCCCCGGCGGAATGTCCCCAAGTGCCTCCCGAGCCCAGCGGGAAGCTGCTCGAAGGCGTATTGCTCCTTGAGGGCAGCAAACTCCTCAGATCAGAAGCCTTGAAATTCTCCCGGACGGAAGAAAGGTCCACAGTTACCTCCGGAGGACCATCCGGGATCTGAGAGGGTGCCTCCGAGAACTTAACCTGAGCGACCTCAGCAGCCGCAATCTGTGCCCAGAGGGAAGCCACCTTGACACGAAGCTCCCCAAGCTCGGTCTCAAGCTTCTTTCGCTCTTCGGCAAATGCATGCCGATCGGTCTCGGCGACCTGAACAGCCGATGAAAAGGCATGTTCAGTATTTTCCTTCGCCACAATTAGCTCCCGCTCCTTGGCCAGCCGAGCCTCGCGGAGCTGTAGACTATAAAGCCCCATCTGTGCACGATCGGTCAATAAGAAAAAGATAAGCACACAATTCGAAACGGAACCTAAGGAAAAAGAAACTTAGATAAAGGAGTACCTTCAGGGAAGCAGTCAAGGCCACACACTCCTCGGCCCGCTCGACCGGGAGGTTGGGGAATGGGAAGCCATTGAAGAAGGCGGCGGTGGACCAAACTTGGGCCGTCGAAGAGCCGCCCTGTTCCAGAATCTCGTGAACTGGATCTTCCAGGGAGATCCGTTCAAATTTCCTGGCCAGATCTGCTTGATGGGCGGCCACATCCTGAGCATCAAATTGATGAGGTTGCTGATCGGCAAAGAGATTGTCCATCAGCATATTAGCGTGGTAGGGTTGTTGTTCGGGAGCAACCTCCTGAATGGGCTGCACCTCCTGGATGGGCCGAGATTGCTCCACATCCTGGGGAGTAGCCTGAGAGGAGCTGGCCTGATCGGCCTTCTTCAATCTCTTTCTTTTCTTCTGCCTCTTCTCAGGCTCGGGGCCTCCACCAACATCGAACAGCCTGATGTCATCCATAGCCTGTTCGGGACTTTCTTCTGATTGACGAACTGACAAAGACAAGGAGAAAAGTTAGTACTGAGCGGTTCCAATGTGTGTGAAACAAAGATAAAATGTTTCTCGCACGGGAAAGACCGCCCGGACCATGGCACTTGGGTTTCAATCAAGTAAGTCCAGGAGTTCGAGAAGTACCTATCCCAGCCTTGGTTAACTGATCGGGAGTCAGATAATCCATGATGTTATAGACTTTGCCCTTCTCAATGGCAATAACATCTTTGACTAGGTCTTCAGAAATGAAGGGTTAAGGGGATTTCTAGGGAAAAGCATTCCACTTCTTCGGTGTCAAGCTGTCCGGGATAGACACGAAGAAAAATTGATCCTTCCACCCTTTGATCGAGGAAGGATCATGGGAGAACAGAATATGACCCGTTTGGGCAATCGCAACCAGGAATCCATCGGCCTGTTGGGGGATTACAGTGTAGTAATAACGGAAAAGGTCCAGAGTGGGCGTCGCCCCGACATCCACACAGCGGCAGATGAAACCGGCCATAGCCTGGTAGGAGTTCTACATGATTTGCGTTGGCACCACTTCGTAGAAATTTAACAAAGAGACAAAAAACGGATGAAGCGAGAACCTGAGCCCAGCCTTCACCGAATCAAAGTGTACCATCACCATCCCCGGGAGGTGGCGCATGGGGTGGGACCCAGATTGGAGGCAAAAGTTCACTGGGTCCGGAATCAGGATTGGGATTTGGGCCCTATTCGGGCCTGTGAGCTTCTGCCGCCTACGACTGATTAGGGTTAAATCAACCCTATGGCGCGAAATATCGTCTGGAGGACTAGCCTCCATGGAAGCAAGCTCATCACCGGACTTCGTGCCATCTGAATATGTACGGGAAGAAGGAGCCTTACCACCAGAGTCACCACAGGAAACCTCCTCATTAACGATAGTGTTCTCCGCCGCGGCGTCTTGGGTTTCTCTTTGGGGAGCCTCTTCAGAGGTAGAAGGATCGGAAGAACGTTTGCGGGGCGCCATGTAACCGGACAGAGGAGGGAAAGAAGTTAGAAGGAGGGACGCAAGGTACCTGAGCAAGGGACAAAGAAGATCCCTAAAGAGAAGGCAGAGCAAAAGACCGAAGGAGTCAAAGTTTGGAAACCCAGAACCGAAACCATAAGGGTTTATTTATAAACTAACAGCATCGGTTCTTCAACCAATCAGAAGAGAACACATCACTAGGAATGATTACAGGGACACGTGTCAAGCGGAGAAACACCAACAAGCAATCATGACGATTATTGGGAAATTGAAATGGCAGCCGCAGGAAAATTGTAGAGGTTACGCCTCGGGAACTGGCGAAATCCTGTACGTTACATAACCGAGCAGCGTTCGGGCAATATTCTTCTACTTTTTTATGTACTCATTACTGTTCGAGACATAGAAAGTGGGGGACTCGTGTTGGGATATTGGGCTTGGGCCCAATACACCCGGCCCAAAGCATAAAGAAGGCCCAGGGAAAACAGGAAGCCCAACGCAATCGGGAAGGTCCAAAAATGTCCCGAACGGCAGATGCCTGAACAACATTCGGGTAGAATTATCCACTTGAACTAATTAAACAGGTGATTGGCATCAAAACACCCACAAAGGGGTCCCGCACTCCGAACGGGGTACCCGACCGGGGATCAACAAGTGGCAAACTGTAGTTAATGCTAAAGTATGGCGGTAGCAAGTAGAGGTATGGGTGCATTTCGTGGAAGAGATAACAGCCTACTGGGTTCGGCCACGTGTCCATCTCACTTATCCCCTCTTAGTATAAATACCTGCATTGAATACATTGGAAGGAGTGAGCAATTTGAGACTCAGAGCTTAGCAATAGAATCATATCTCTCATTCTTGTATTTTGAACTTATACCGACTACCGTTCGGGAAATTTCTTTGTGATCACAGAATTACGTAATACGAGTTAGCTTCTGAGTTAAATCTTACTCCCTCCGCCCCCTAACTTTGTCTCGTTTTACCTTTTTCGTCTGTCCCATTAAGTTTGTCTCATACTATATTAGATAATATTTGAGTGGTTAGAATTCATTCTTACTTTATTCACACTTTATCAATTCAACACCAACCACATAATTCTACTTTTTCTTAAAAACCACACCACACCCCTTTGTCCCAAACTTAGGGGGACGGAAGTAGTAATTCACTATTTTATATTTATACACCTTTCTAACCGAAACAAACATCCTTAATATCCAAAGCGTGTGTTGGGCTTTCAGATCTTCGGAATTAAACCTCAACAACAGTTAAATCAAACTATATAAGGACTTATTTGATTTTTTTATGTAAGTTCAAGGGTCTATTTTATCCTTTTCCCCCTTTATTTTACGGAATAAATGGTTTGGTTTTATTTCAACCCAAACTGAAATGCCCATCCAACGAATTATGCTGGACTTGACATGTGTGGATAAGTTTTGAAATAACCAGGAGTACTATGTAGTTGTTTATCCACTTCTCACAGCAATGGCTGCTGATCTGCACCTTCCTTCTCACAACTTCAGTAAAGCTTCAATGTTCTCCTCTCCTCTGCGCCCCCCTTTGAATTATACAAAACCAAACAGTGCGCCAAGCTTTTCTGCAAATTCCAATTTCAGCAAGCTCAGATTGAGGGCAGTGAAGGAGAAATCAGAGGATATCAAGTCTCAGACATCTGCAGAGGAAGTCGTCAAGAAATATGGTCTAGAAGCAGGTCTATGGAAGGTATTTACAATCAATTGATAATAAATGGGTATTTCTTATATTTTCCGCAAATCTTTAGGATTATATTATGTTCCTTTATCTATAATCGTTCAAGAAAGCTAGTTTGATGGTTCTACTTTTGTTTAGATTTCTGATGGGTTTTATGAGGTTTTTTACGTTTCAATTATCTACTCAAACTATACTTCATTTCTATTTTTAAACATTGACTATTAATTTTGACACAAAAATGTCCCAGTAATTTCATTTTGGATCTGGTATTTATTGGGACCAAGCCAAGGTTGACCCTAGCAAGGTTGAAAGAAATTGAACAAAATATACTCTTAGTGTCACTCCCTATCAACCAGTTAAAACTACTAAATATACTCTTAGTGTCACTCCCTATTAAAGAAATTGAACAAAATATACTCCTAGTGAAAGAAACTGAACAAAATATACTCTTAGTGTCACTCCCTATCCACATTTGAAAGAAATTGAACAAAATATACTCTTAATGTCACTCCCTATTAAGCTTCGTACACCCGACAAAGTAACATAAGCCTGGGATAGGACGTTAGAAACTGACTTGAACCAGTGACATATGTAAGGTGTTAGAGACTGTATAACCAAGCCCATTCCGAAATTTTTTTGGGTCCTTTTCTGTATGGGCCGCGAGTTTTTTATTCCGGTTGGGCCACGCGCGCGTCCTATTACCGGTAGGGGTTATGTTTTGCTCTCTATAAATACAAGCTCTCTTCTCGTAATCATTGATCCAAAATTAATAGCAATATCCTGGCTTGGTAGTGCCCCCAGACGTAGTCCTTTGTGGTGAACTGGGTTACCAAATTTCGTAGGTTCTTTCTTATTGTCTTTCGTGTTGTGTGAGTTAATTCCTAACAACATAGCCGTGCCAAAACATTGGGGCGAGCTGATAATAACAATTTTTCATTTAAATTTTTACATTTAAACGAGCTCATCAGATGGAATAATGTTGCCACATTTCAGTCCTTTTAATTCCCTTTATCATATGTAGTAATGCTCGAGACAAATTTAGTTTGGTGAGTTTTGGAAGAATGGACTAAAATGTGACAAAAATGATATATACTCAAGAGCTAAAGAGTGATAACCATGTAGTAGTCGTTGGAGACTTGGAATAGTAGTTGAGACAAAAAACTCTTTTGTCAACACGCAATTTTCATTTAATGTATTGTTTTCTTGAAGTTGGCGTAATTATTTTAGCGGTTTTAGTGACATTTTAGCTGGTTAACTGAACACCCTGTAGATATTAAGTTCAAAAGATGAAAAAAACCAAGGAAACAAGTCGAAAGGGAAGGAAGCTAAGGAGCTATTGGCGAAATATGGAGGAGCCTACCTGGCTACCTCCATCACTCTCTCCTTGATATCCTTCGGTCTCTGCTATGCGTTGATCAATGCCGGAGTTGATGTCCAAGCATTGCTACCGAAGGTGAGTTTGTTGTCTCTTGAAAGTTGAAATATTTTACAAGTCTATGTGAACTAAACTCCATAAATGTCTTGATGAACAATGTGTGTTTGCAGGTCGGGATTTCATCAAATGAGACGGGGGAGAAAGTTGGGACATTCGCATTGGCTTATGCTGCCCACAAGGCTGCATCCCCGATTAGATTTCCACCGACTGTTGCTCTTACTCCCATTGTTGCTCGCTGGATTGAGGGAATGAAAGTTGATAAAGAGCATAAGTGATCACATTTATTCTTGCATAATGTAAATAAATAACATCTTGCGTTGTATTCACTCCCGTTGTTAATCGCATATATTTATGTAATCGGTTATATTTACTAGCTTGCGTTGTGTCATTCTTTTTTGCATATATATCCTGTATCTATGTTATGCCTTAACATGCTTCTCCCATGTCTACGGTCGGGGGCGGAGCCAGAAAAATGCGTGAGGAGGGTCGGAATCTATATCTATATAAAAACAAAATAGTGGTAGGGAAAATGGGCGGGAAAAGTGTGACATGCATGTGAGAAACCATTTTGCCTACGCCTACTGCTTTGATTGATCTACTGGATTTAATTATTTATCATTTATTAATTGTTCGATTGAATTGATAATTGTAAAGTAACATTCTAGAAGTGACCTTTCCAATTCCGAAGCGGTTGAGTAATTGAAAAATGAAAACAACATGGGAAGATGTTCCTCATCCGAGGTTTGAACTTCTCGAGAATTCCTGATTCCAGATATTTGTCCGGTTAAGTGACTTAAATTTAAAAAAATGGTCTCGGGTTCGAATCCCGGCAACTGTGATGAGGGGTTATTATGCTGAAAAATACATAGGGTTTCTGCAAGTATCGGGGACAGAGCGCCACTCTCTATCTGTCAGATTGTGATTAAAGTCCAATTTACATCTTCCTATCGTGCCGTCCGGTCGGTGTTGGGGGCCCTTAGGGATGGGATGTCATCCTTTTTTTTGTTAAGTGACTTAAATTACGAGTATTAAAGATTGCAATTCCAGAAGCGTAAAGTTAATGTTTGGAAGTGATTTTAGCAATTTCGAAGTGTTTCAATAGTTTAATATTTCTGGAGGAAGAAGGTTGATCAGCAACGGCAAGTCGGAGGTTCAATAGTGTTTCAATGGTTTTAATGCCCATAAACCCTAATTTCAACATTAGAAAAAGAAGATTAAGATTTAAAAACGGAGGAAGAAGGTTGATCAGCAACGGCAAGTTGGAGTGCAGTGTGCGGGTAGAAGGCGAAGGTGGGCCATGGGGCGGCATTCTCCTGGACGACGATGCAAGCGGCTGGATTCATTTTGGTCGGCGATTGTGCTGATGTAGGCCGTGCAAAATGGCCTCTTGAACTCTGCTCCAAGTTCATCCAAAATAAAAATTTCCAAATCAGAAAAATAAAAGCTACTAGTACAATTTTGGTATAAAAAAGTATTATGAATGGGTTATGTATTTTAATTTGAACCCGACCTAAAAATTTCCCATGAATGACGTGCAGTTTGAACTCACGAACAATTTGCTTATCTCTAAGGTGCACCCTACGGACAGGGGTGGAGACAGGGAGGGGCTGGAGGGGGCCTCGACAAGAAAAAAATTCTTAAGTATATATTATGTATAAATATTTTTAATCTATAGAAAATATGTTGATATTTTAAACTCTGAATCCTGCAATGTAAAATTTTTAAGAATCGGCCCCCTTAATCGTAGATTTCTGGCTCCGCCACTGCCTACGGACGAGTAAATCGCCGAGACAAAGGACAAGGAGCTTTTCCCTAGGATCCAAATTCAATTTATCCAAGAGGAAATCGTGATCCTGGATGCATTTTGGCCGGCAAGATGCTCCTAAACGGCGGCTGACGGCGGGCAATGGGGCGGTGGTGGTAGGGAGCGTGCAACAGCAGGCAGATGGATCTAAGGTGGGAGAATGGAGGCTAGGATTGGAGAAAAAAGTAGGAGGTTAGGGTTTTATAGATATAACTTAAAGGGTATATTTGTCCACCTATATTAATTAACTAATTATTACGAATTTAATTAAATATTGATGTTATTTTAGTAAAAAAACTTGTTAAGTCATATATTGAGAAACTCATGAAGTTTTAGTCATAGTAATTATCTCAATTATGTACGGAGTAATTATTTTTTATAGAGTGTGTGCTACTCCATCCCACCTTATCTCTCGCCATCTCTTATTTTCCAAGATAAATCTTCTACTTGGTTGTTTCTTTATGTCTGTCCAGACTTTCCATTTATCTATTCTGGAAGATGAGATAAGAAGAGGGAAGAAGCCAGCGTTTCAATTACTCATGCATTTGGGATTGCATGGCGAAGGATAATTAAGAAGGGAAGAGGACCACCAAGGATTTGGATTCCACCCACAACACCAAAGAAGCTTCTAGGAGTTATTTGATGACAGACATGTGGTTGAAATTGAAACTAACAAGTCTACAAGGTGGTGTGCTAGATATGATTTGAGAACATCTTTCAGTTTGTAATCTCAGGTTATAAATGTAAGTGGTGTAACTTGATTGATAAATGATAATTCAAAATTTACTATTTTGTTCATGAAGGTTTTGCTTAATCCAGTTGTTTTCGGCCCTTAGCTTGCATGTGATTGCTTTTGTTTATGCCTGAATTATTTTATTGTTATGAAAAATCTCTGAACTTTCAAATAAGGATGTTTTTACTTGGACTGTAATTTGCTGGTTTGGTCTGGTCTGGTCTGGTCTGGTCTGAACTGGTCTGGTCTGGTTTGGTAAGGTCTGGTTTCTTTGTATTTTTATAACTATCCAAGTCTGGTCTGGTCTGAACTGGTCTAATCTGGTCTGGACTGGTCTGGTTTGGTCTGGTCTGGGGCAAATTACAGTCCAAGTAAAAACATCCTAAGTATCGCATATATACCTCCCAATTCTTTTTTGGGCTTAGGTTCTGGGTCCTTAGTGTTTTGAATTTCTGGGTGATTCTTCTTGAAGCTTGAGTTTGTTTCATGTTAATTGCTTCAATATTTTTGAACATCTGCTTTCATCTTTACAAGTAGCAAGTACGAATTAAAGTATATACGGAGTACCAATTTTATACGGAATATCACCGGTGTGGATTATTTCCTGATATATATTGTTGGAAATATTGAGAATATTTCAAATGAATAATACTTTGTTCATTTATTTTGCTAGAAATAATTTTAAATCTCAAATTCTAATGTTGATTTTCATTTGGCCGGACATATGTCTATGATAAGTTATAATCCACTATTAAAGTTTTACACGTTACAATTTTCTTCTATTCCTTTTAATTAAATCATTTAAGCTAAATAATCAATGTTGCAAATATAGGTTGGGACGTTACTTTTCAATGGAGGAAGAGTAGTGGCTCCTCATTATTATTAATTAATACTTTAATAGAGTAACCCTCATGGCAGCAACGATTATAAAAAGCATCTGCAAGGCAACGTTCGGGTTCATATAGATATATATACTTTGAGCTTGAGCTACCATGGAATAGGAGGAATCATTTTACTTACGAATTACAACTCCCTCACATATTTTTAAACTCTTGCTGGATTAATCATTTGTCTACTCTCGTTGTTCTGTTACCGGCTTACACCGAAGAGCTCGTTTTATCTTGGGGAAAGATTTTCGCTAGTCGGAAATACTTTCTTGAGGACAGCGTTTACGCGACTCGAGCTATATTATTTTTCTAAAACGCTTTTTGCAGGTATATCCGGACGTTTTCTTCCAACAATCTCAAGAAAGTATTTGGCGTCGGATATGCCTGCACATACAATCTCACAAGGCGTTGCTGCCGCACTCCTCGGGGCTATGTTATCTCTACATGTGCGCTGCGAAGTAAGTTGTGATACACCCACATGGGGAGCCGCATTTATCGGATAGACGCTCACAAAAGTCTTCTACGTATAACGGTTAGTCTCTCCGCTTTCCTACTTACAACAAGTCATACTTTAACTCCATTTTTTTAAGAAAAATGTTATTCGTTGATTTAGTGATAAAATGACAACTATGAAAAATAACAACCCACTAAAATCAAGTTTAAACTTAGTTTGTAGTGATGATAATTTTACTGCGGTTGTAGTTTAAACTTAGTTTAAACTATGATGTGAATGAGTGAGTGAAAAAAAAAAAAAAAACTTTATCACTAAATGACGTGTTTAATGTGCCCGAGATTTGGATTAATTTAGTTTTTGTCTCTCTCTTGAGAAAAGTTGGGGTTAAAGTTTATTTTGGTCGTGACAAATTTGTTATGACCAAAAATGATATTTTGTGGGAAATGACTATTGTAAGAACGGAAATTTTGTGCTTAGTAATTTTGGAGTGTTGCATGATAATGCTATACGTACTTACAGTTGGTTAATTATCGTGTAATGTGATATAATAGTAATAGATTTGACTTTTACGTGGCATTTTAAGTTGATCTTTATTTTTATTTGATTTATGAAATTCCTAAATATCATAAGATTGATATTTAGTGAAATGAGAGCACCTCTAGAAAATTGTGATATATTTGATGAATTTTTTATGAACTTTATTAGAGCAACTACACTGTGCTTAGAGGTGGTAAAAGTTCTTTATCACATTTACGGGTGATTTTTCGAGATAAACTAAATTTTATCGTACTTAAATTTAAAAGGCGAGTTTCTTTTTATAAAATCATTGTGTACAAATTAAGGTTGAGATATAAATTATTTGTCTATGAATTCTAGAAGGGCTATGCACCTGTTTTTCAAATATTTAAAATTGTGGGGGTGCTTAGCTATATAACTGAGCTTTATTACCTATCTCATTGAGTAAACTGAGCTTTATAACTCTTCGCTAGCTTTGCATAAACTGAAACAATGGAGCACATTTATAATTTTCTTAAATTGAAGAAATAGTGTGCTAATGTGCAATACTTTAAGCTATGTTATTGTTGATATTAATGTGATCGTTTTTTGGAGAATGTGTTCACACCAAATGATGCATGTATATATAATTATTTGTTTATACTTTAATTTGTTGAAACAAGAATGCTAAATTTTTGAAAATGTGCTTCTTTTGAACTTGAACACAAGACCGTTGCACCATATAGTGAGTGTGATCCACTACAAGGAAATGAACCTTTAATGATGAACCCTCTAGTGATAGTGAACCATTAAAAGAAAATGATTCTTTTAATGATGAATCTTCTCTTTTGAAAAGAAGTAAGAAGCCAAATATAGAGAAATCTTTTAGAAATGATTTTTATACATATCTAATTAGTGATGAATTTTTGACTTATTTACAAACAAAAAAAAAAAAATTGGTGCATATAAACACTGAAATAGACTGTATTCACAAAGCTTTTTCCATCAAATGAATGTTAAGATTGT